GATGGCATTATGGATTGAGTTACTTATTTCATCCATCTACCTACCCCTCTCCATTACTCTGATACCTGGAATGACTAACAAGAATTAAGTATTTGTGCTCATCCACGTTTATATAGATACATGCCTTACATTATTATTCATCATATTGTAGAATTTATTTAGCTTATACAGAACTTATAAGATACTTTTTCGTATAATATTTGTATTTTCTAATTGTTTTTATACCCAAGCATTTTTCTTTCCATCCCCTCTTGGAGGTAGTAATAATGTTATGTTCATTGGAAGTTATTTGGATCTTCTCCATTTAACTCAGTCAGCCAAGTTGATTAGCAATTATGGTGGGAGCCTCCAGATATGTGTCCTCTGCACAACAGAAATCTGGACCGACAGCCTGTGGTTTTGTGTTGGTACCTGTTTGTGCTTGAACACAATAGCCAAAATTTCTTTTTTTTTCTTCCCTTAGATTATATTCCTTCTGGTAGCAACACTTTTGGGTATAAGGCAATTGATGTACCACCTGTTCACTGGTCGATGTGGGCATCATTAAGCTTATTCTTAACCCCTAAATGTCAGCGAGCATCCTCAGTCAGTCAAAGAGACACCTCTTCTAGCTGTGAAGAGGCACAGCCGACTGGGCCTGCTGTCGTGGTGTTAATATAGATGTCACCCAGTCTATGCAGAGTGTCATCAGGCAGTCAGGCAGGCCTTTAGGCAGCCACAGCCCTAATCTTGTTTGAAAGGCTGGTCTCCTTCCCTCTCATCTCCCCATGTGTTTGCCTTGGCGGCCACACATGAAAGCATTTACACACAAGCTCACTCGCACGACACACACACACACACACACACTGCTGTGTGTACATTTATGGAGACACAAAAAAACTCCATCCTCTCACGAGAGTACACAATTCCTTTAAGAAATCTCGCACACTCTAACTAGTTGCTTGCAGATGAAAACAGAATATTGTACTTCAGCGGGAACATTCTCTCCCTTTCAGGCACACACACAAACACAAACATGCTCTCTCTGATTCTGCGCCCGAGGCTGGCCGCCCTCTCCATCTGCCCCACCTCCTGTGCCCACAGCTCAACTTTGATCAGCCTTAACAGAGACAGAGGCTTGTATGTGTGAGCTGTGTGTGCACTGAGTAAGAGTGTTTGCATATCCATGTTTACGCAATCAAAGACATGTTGCTTCTCTCAGCATTGGTGTGTGTTACAATTATATCTCCCCTCCAGCTGTATTGTGATGCCTAGATTTAGTCGTAGAGCGAATGCGCATGGGTGTGTGTGTGTGTGTGTGTGTGTGTGGTGCAGCAGGAGCGCCAGCTGTTATTTTGTGTCGGGTTTGTTGAGATCCTAGATGAGCAGCGAGTCGTTGTGTGACAAGACAAGCTACCGAGGGGACTTAGGCCCGAGATGTCAGGGATGAAGGAATGTGTGTGTGTGTGTGTGCGCGTGTGTTTTATGTGTTCAGATCCCACTTCCTGTCATGCTCTCTCCCGTTTGCTCTCTCTGCGGCTCCCTCATTCGTCAGTGAGCAGGGTTGCGACCCTGTCTGAAGGGATGGTCTCCTGGGCTTCTCTCTGAGCATCTCTTGAAAGATCACAGCGCAGGCTACGTTTGAGGAGGTCTCCTCTCATCCTATTGATCCCTGCCTCTTCTTCTGTCGGTTCCCACTCCCCCTTGTGTCTGCTTGTCTTAACACTCTAAAGCCCCTGCTCGCTGCAGCTGGAGCCTTCCTCTGCCATTTCGTCATCTTCTTCACCCGTTCATTTCCTTTCCATCGTCTCTAACCTCTCCTGCTTCTTCCATCTTCTTCCATCTATCTTCAAGCCTAAATTAGCAGGCTCTTACTTATCTCTTCAGAGTGCCACTCATTTTTTCCCCAAATCAATTGGAAAGAATAACAAACTGTCCCCTGAGAGCAGCACCACAAACTGATTAAAAACTCCTCAACAAACAACTCCCCGACTTAAGAGATGTTTTTCTAATCTTTTGTATGATGCCTGAAGGGACTGCTTGAATACCTGATATGTATGTGTTTACTGCTGTATGTAGTCATTTTAAATTAAATTACGGTGACTGTTGTGTGGTACTGCATCCAAATAATGTGCTTTTGGTTATCCGATTGGTTTTGGTTCTGTTTTGAAGCAAGCCAAAGTGTTTTCGTTTTGTACGACGTAGACAAAAAACATCTTTTGAGAATGTATCAGCCTGAAAGTTGTAAAGGGAAAGAAGCACTTTTATTTGCACCGAGCTGAAATGAGACTATTTATTTTTGAAGGATACTGTTCATAGGCACTACTGATTAATTTATGGTTGTATTTTATACCGTATGCCTGTTGATGGCGTGGTGATAATATTGTATAGTTGGTGTATGCCTGCCTCATTTTTTCTCCGACTGCAATATTGCCTGCTTTTGACATCATCTTCATGTGCCCTGTTCTGCCCAATGACATTTTGAGACAGGATCGCTGTAAGAGCTGAGTCATGGTTGGGTCAGGAGGGGAAATTATGATGTATATCTCTGATTTTGAGTAATGAAATGCATCTGATATCTGTGGCGTATTCTGGGAGAAAAAGAAAAACAAGATTAAATATTTTTATCATCTTCTGAGCGTCTGGATTATTGGAGCAATTGTTTTCTTTGCGTTGACAAACTCAATTTCGAAGCAACACTGGCGACAACGATAAATAGGTTGAAGATGAGGTCCTTCGTCTCAGTCCTGGATATCAGCTATGCTTATCTTCACTTTGCACGTTCAGTTTCCTCATCTCTCACACAGCCTTGCCCACTTCAACAGCACTTGGCCCTAAACCTGTTTCCTATTTCTGTAGAGCTTTGTGAAGCAGTTCAATCTCCTTTTCTTCAAGGTTTTTTGTCTTTTTAGGTATTTTTACATTAGAACAAAAACACTCGGTCCCTAGTAAACATTTCTGCCTCAATGAATTCCCACCAAAAAAACCCCCAAAAGTTTTAAGGAGAATTAGCAAGGACGAATATCACAAATGGTTTCCAGAAGCCATTTCCTCAGTTCAAAATGTAGTTACCAAAAGGCAGAAAAGCTGCTAATTGAATTAGTGTTGAGGTAAAAGCTAACCCTGGTTTTGACAGCAAATGACCTTTGACAGATGTTGCACAGTTCTACTTTGTAAGAACTTGCACACTCGTGCCAAAAGCTGTTCACACATCATTGTCATTGTCTCCAACATCAAAGTATACAAAAGAAGAAATGAGTCTGGGAATAACTGGGAACAAGTGAATGTTACAGAATTTCAGGAAAGAATCCTCACCTTTGAAGCAGGGTGATCGATCAGGCTTTATTGCTTTGTGTTGTACCCAGCGGCACAAAAACATTAGACTGCTGGAGGAAAGCTTGGAATAGAATAAACACCGGTGTACCCTGACAAAAAACATCAGCTATAAAAAAAAATAGTTGTAAATTTACACAAAGAATAATTTGAAGGTTTTTCCATGACCCTCACAGTTCCCAAGCCTACATGCTCATCACAGAACCAAGCAGCTATTTGAAAAGATTTTGTCTTGGATTTTTTTCCTATCATTAAAAGAAAAAAACTTACTTCTAACAATAACTTCCATAACTTACAGTGCATGCCTTTCGGAGATCTCCAACAAATAAGGACCACAGCTGCCTTAATGCTGTTTAATGCGTCTTCAATCATGACATGTACCGGGATTATCATGTGAAGTATTTAAATGTATTTGTCAAAAACGTATAAATGCGTCACAACACAACTTTATTTCTGTTACAAAAGGTATCTTTGGAAAAGTCATGTTTGAGGTAGTCAAAGTCAACCTGGAAAAGTTAGTGTTATCACACAAAAAGGGTCTATCCCTGATGTTCAATATAAAAACTCATTTTAAAGAAACATTTGTACAAAACATTTTATACGAAAATAATTAGTACATTCTGTATGTTAATCAAAGAAAAAGGCATCTCTATAGCAATAATCATATATAATATAACTTTTACGCTTCACAACTGAAAACACCATAATAGAGAGGTATGACCCTATGAGCTTGAAATTGAACAGTTTTCTTCAAAATCAACAATAGGTTGTACATGCAAGAGGTTTTCAGTGCCTTGATTTTTTGTTCTTGTCATAGAACAGAAACTACTATTTCAGTCCAAGACCTGAGTTTGTCCAGAATCTCCATCAGAAACTGAGTGTTTTCTCCTTTGCACTCCTTCACAGCTGGAGACACCTGTTCCTGGTGCTTTCCTTGGCTGAGCTCCAACAATATCTCTACGTCTTCCACAAGCCTCATTGCCCGCTGATCTGTCCAGCCCAAAGTCACTTTTTGGAAGGAGTGTGCCTCCAGGGCCCTGACCAGCTTGTAGCACAGGCTCTGGAGCTTGTCGCTGTGCTGCGTGTGGCCAGGCAGACCCCTCTCCAGCTGGTACAAGAAAAAGAGGTGACTTAACAGACAAGAACTGGCCTCCAGGAGGGGAAGGTTCGAGACCTCGGTGGCTTTGTTTTCTAGGGTCAAATCTCCAACTTGCGCGCACTGAAGGAGCTCTTCCCTCTGAAGTGGTGCAGAGACCAGGTCCAGTGGGAACCGTCCTCCTCCATCGGTTTGCTGGAGGAGGATCGAGCCTGGTGGAGACAAAGGTTTTTGGTATTAAATAACGTGGCATTTACACAGTCACATACTCATCTCACACAAATGAAACATAAAACATGCTTCATTTGGGTTTCCATGATATCACAGCACTGAACAGCTGTTGTTTGGGATCAATACTTGGTTGATATTGTGCAAATAATGGAGACAGCATTAAATAAGTGGCACTGTGAGCAACATCTGCCAGTGTAAACCTGAAAAAGGAGGGGAAAAGATTGAAGGTGTTTAAATTTGAAGTTGAGATCTTTAAGACATTATATTTTGTAAACGAGGAAGAAGCAGAGCAGTGGGAAACAATAACGTTCTAAGAGCAAGTGGGGTCTAGGAGTCTGAGGTTAATGAAAGCTTCGAGAACAACTAGCATTAACATCAGTGCACAGGCACAACTGACTTGCAGCCAAGCTACATGAGACTGCAGCATCATTGTCAAATAAGGTGGAAGACGGGTGGAAGACACGGGTCACCGGCAGGACACAGTAAAAGAAACAAATGGTACACACACAATTGCATATGCTTTACCACACACAGCGAGAAACTCTCACCTAAGGTGTGTGAAGTGATGGGTTTAAATGAACAGCTGTTTTCCCACTGGCCCTCAGTGCCAGACAGGGCTATTAGCTCACTTCAGCGCTAACTTCAGCTGACACCTCACCTCAGCTCTGTGACTGGCGGGTCACTTTGTGTTTGCAGAAAGGCGCTGAGGGTTGGTGACCTGATGGGGGCTCTGCTTTTTCTGATGTACTGCTGTAAGTGAGCTCATCATCGTCATCAGCGCACACGAAAGAGGCCACTGCGGGCTACTGACTCGGAACAGAACTTGCCTGTGTCGCGTTATAATTGCCATGTTTTTAAGGTTCCGTCTTAATCGAGAAAAGTGGATCGCGGGGGCATTATGGCAAAGTGACACATTTATTCAAATCATTTGTGAATGTGTGACAAAACCCTCCGCCTGTGCTTTCAACTCCGTAAACTCAAAACATTTTCACCAGCCTTGACTTTGCTGTTTCAGCCTCGCTGCATTCAAACCAAACGGGACAGTCACAGCTAAATGCAACACTGTTTTTCTCCTATTTTCCCCCTCACACAAAGCCACTAAAGTTGTAATTGTGACATTTACTTTCCTGTCTCTATACTCTGTTGAGGGTAAAAGCCTTTTTCTAGCGTCAGACAGTCCTGTGCATATTTAGCCAACATGGAGGGGGCCGAGTCAAGAGCGAACTCTTTGTTTGCTTTCAGATAGACCCATTTCTATGGCAAACTGCTCTTGATGGCACTTGACTGTTCAACCTTGGCAATGCTGCTGCCACTTATGAGCGAGTTTACAGCTCTGTGGAGGCTCTGCATGACACACAGACAGCTGAAAGGCTGCTTGATACCACTGCTGGCAGTTGTTTTTCTGTTTGACAGATACTGTGGGGCTGCAGGAAGCATGATGTTTTAAAGGAGGGACAATCTTTTGTATGTGCAATGCACTGTGACATCAACCATACTTACCGGGCCTTTGAGATGCCATATTGACGAAAAAACAAACAAACAAACAAAAAAAAAGTCTTGATTCAAATGACATTGTTAAAAAAGAAAGAAACAAGGCATAAAAATACATTGCTCTTGTCAGTTGTGAGATAATCGGTGAGGTCAGCGCTCAGCTACCTTTTAGTGCTTCAATTCTGAGTGTCAAAAGCTCAATCTGCATAAATTGAGGTATTAATCTACATAAACTTTTACATAACTGTGGAAATTTCACATACTGGGGTCAGGTGTTGAGGGCAGCAGTCAAGGACGCCAGAGCACAGATTTGATGGAAGTGGCCACAGCAGAAAGAAGGAGGAGACGGAGGGATGCGGTGCATGTGGGGGAGTGTTCACAGCAGGCCATAATCACCAGGTTTCTATAACAAGCCGTCTTCGCTATTATGCTCACTCAGTAGAAGTGGCTGTAATGTGTGAGGCCAACCGACTCGGGCATGACGCATTGTAGGAGGCTGCTACAGGCTGACCAGAGTGTGGAAGGCCACAGTGCGCATGTTAACAAATGGCAAGAAGCAGCACTATTTCTACAGAAGAGTAAATTCCTCGATGTTCATTCTGCGCAGGCTAAAATAAAAAAGCTCTGATTTATGTTCAGAAGATATGCTCTCACTTTAGCTTAGGTGGAAGTCCTAAACCGGTAAATCACCTTTCGTAATGAATGACTGAATTAGATGTGGGGTTAAACTCCAGAAATCCCACAGCCCTCCGTTTGAAAATCAGAGTCACAGAAGGACCTGCCTTTGTTTCTGTTCTGCCAAAAAAATCAAGTGGAAAACTGAAAATGTGGATATGAAAATAACAGTGTTTTTAGTTTTCCTGTCTGTCATGTTTCTAAAACTGCTACGTCTCCCCACAGAAGATGCAAATCACCAGGGCGAGATAAAGAGATGCGAGAAGGAGAAGCGCAGTTCCCCAGTTTTCCCTGCCGTCATCATGTCAAACTCAGCTGACAGACGGGCTCCAATCAGAGGGATGACACTGATGCGTGGAGGAGGGGGCCCCTGCAGCACGGCCCTGGGCTTGGCTTGCCTGAAAGCTTGCGTGTTTGATTGTAGATCTGTTTGCCTGAAAGCTAACTGTTGGTGTGTTCTGTATGCAGTTTGTCACATTTGCATATTTACCTGCCTAACTCTTTTATTCCTATCACCTCAGCTTTTACATACTTTTTCATATGTCAGTACTTGTATCTTTAACCTAAAGCGCATAAAAAGAAGTCGTGGCCGCATATTCATCTGTGGGCATCAAGGAAATGCTGATGCTCCACCACAACAGCACACACACACACACACACAAACATACACAGGTCAATAAACAGATTTGGTGTTGAGCTGTCTGTTTGAACATTTGAACAGAGGAAATGGAAATAATATCATGGACTTTTCATAGTGTAACACACATTCATGTTCACAGAGCTATGAGATTTGAGCCTGGGGAATGGTTTTTGGTGCAAGGATGGTGACTGAAGTGAATCCAGGTATTGGCACTGAGTGTCAGATATGCTGCAGTGGAGATAAATACAACACCTGAGGGATTACATGAGAGCATAGGGTAATTACACCATCCTTTGTGCACGTGTGTGTGTGTGTGTGCGTACACGCGTGCATGAATGTGAAAGTACCCCACAAAGACCTAAGCTCCAAAGCTACAGCAGAGGGAGGGAATTCACGTGGTGAGCAGAAGCCACTGCCTGATGCACCAGCCAGATGCAGTCTGGCTACCACACACACAACCACACACACACACTTACAGACAGAGCGCAAAGCCCTTTGGCCTTTAGAGGGCAGGCGAAGACAAGGAATATAAAAGCGCGAGTGGAGGAAGGGTAAAATTGGCGCAAAAAAGAGGGAGGGAGTGAAGGAGAGAAAGATGCAGAGCTCCCTCCCCCTATGTCTCTTTTTTCTGTCTCTGGTCTGAGGCTGAGGCAGACAAGCTGGGAAGCAGGCAGTTCCACAGCATGGTAAACATCCCCACACTCTTTCTCTATTGCTGCCTGAAAAAAAAGCTGGACTGGTTGAGTGTGTGAACTGCAGCCAGGGGCATGGAATCACATATCCACAGGGACCTGCTAGCTAGTGACTAGAAACCACAACAAAAACAACAATCGAGTGAGGCACCAGAGAAGACGGCGGGGAGGCGTCAGATGCCGGAAAAAGACACACCGGCTGAATATGAGATAGTATGGTGAAATGTTTTCTTTGCTTTATTATTAATAGTGAAAGTGAAGGTTATGTTTCACACATACATGTTACACACATTAATTAATATAGATATGTATGTATATATACATATATATATACACACATACATACATATACATGTCAACTGCATGTATACATGTATTAAAGAACATTTAAGTTATAGAGTTATCAAGGATAAACTATTTTAGCTGAGCTGATTTAAATTTTCATCTTAAATGATAAACATAAACAGTTTTTTTACAGTTCTGTATAATTTACGTGGATCATCCAGGCATCTTAACAAACAATGGGGAAGGTTTAAAGGTGAAAACCACTTTTCGAGCTTTAAGTAAACCCATACACCCACTACATTTCTCCTACAGGGCCTTGCACATGCTAGACTAACTACCAGATACCATGCTCTGTTTCTGCAAACAATCAGAATGTCACATCCCAAGTTAAATGAATTTACTTACACTATTTAGAAGTTGACAGATGGAAACTGAGAGAAGTAATTGTAAAGACACCAACAAAACACAGAATGCCATGAAATACTACCATGTTAATTAAGAGGATAGAACAGTGCAGAGCGATAGACAACTAAAAGCAGTTCCTAGAAAAGCTCTTATTGGTCCAATAACTCAGCAGAAATGTAGCAACATTTTGTCATATAGTGGGCAAAGTGTCACAACTTTGGGTTTTGTGGATGTTGCTTCTGGCTTTTTCTTTCCTCTTTGAGACTCACTGAGATTTGAGTTATTTTACTATCAGCTTTTGATCTGCTTTTGAGAGTTGTTCTTAGTTCCACGTTATTAGTTTATTAAGGCTTCCATTACGTCCTCTCCTTGTTTTATTCTGCTGTCTTTCTCCAGTTCCTGTGTTCTGCTCCTGTATCTCCACCATATTCTCTGCCTTCAGTTTCCCTCCTGAGCAGTTCAGTATCTCTACTCTCGTCACCTGCATTCCTCGTCCTCAGCTGAATTAATTCAGTTCCCACTTCCCTCCGTATGAAATCCCTCCGGTTTCAGTCACCCTTTGTCGGATCCACAAACATGCGTTCTTCTCCTCCAGTCATAAGGGGCCGTGTCTTTCTGTCTGCCCTGGTCCCTGTCACTGATCTAATCACTTCTTTGGTTGCATTATTTTAATAAATATATTTTTTTAAAGTTCGTATTGAGTTCCCTTGTTTTTCCTGGCCTGCACCTTAATATTCTAATAACCCCTGAACCACCCCCCTCCTAACTCTGACACAAAGCTTGTCTTTATTAT